TATATATAAAAGGATGTAAAAACAATTATAGTAAAATTAAGGTTGAGATATAATATTGTGATATACATGAATATATGTGAATTTAAAATATGTGATTTGATATGAAAAGCAGGTGGTACTACGGAAGGGATGCATGGAAATACTGTAACCAACTGACACACTTTCTACAATTTGTAATGAAAGTTGTTTTTTTATTTTTATGTTTGTTTGTCTTTGTTCAAAAATAAATAAATTTTGTTTATTAAAAAAAACATAAATCATAATGTGAACAAGCCACACAATTCGCATCCTCCCAGTCTGATTTAACATTTCTTTTTTTAAGCAATTAATCATTGCTTTTCCCATATTCTCTAATAAATTTATTCTGGTTTATGTGTGCTGCTTTTTTGTTATTTAGGAAAAAGTTACACTAATTTCATATATTTGGGGGTTTTGTTTTGAAAAATGTTTTTAAATGTTTTTACTTGAACAACAGGATACGTTGGTGCATTTAGAAATATGTTTTCATTTGCAACAGTTTTTGTGCTTAAACATGAATGGAAGATTATTTAGATATTTCTTCAGAAATAAACATTCCTAGAGCTTTCATCTTGAGGGTTGTAATCTTTAAGGAAGATACTGACTAGTGAACAATGTATGTTTCCCATTTCTATGTAAAACAGTTTTCATATATATGATGACAATTTAACAAATGATTATGTTCTAGATCTTAAACACCGCCGAATACCAATTTTGTTTTTTGCAAACAAGATGGATCTTAGAGATGCTGTATCCTCTGTTAAAGTCTCTCATTTACTGACATTAGAGAACATCAAAGACAAGCCATGGCAGATCTGGTAAAATTCTGATTTTATAACAAATAATATTTAATGTGAATTAAATTATATTTTGTATTTGGATTTTGAATGTTTTATTCCATTGTTCTTTAGTTTTCTTGTGCATACTAGTTAATAGTTTGCTATCCAATAAATCTTTTTACTCTCCATAATTCTTATTTGGAAAGTGTTACTTTCACTAATGATGAATCTGCAAAATTTCACTGAATACAAGATTTTGTGCAAAATGAGGAAGAGAGTTGGTTTCTTCCATGCATACATGACCAAATACCCAATGTATATGCATGCATGCATGCATGCATGAGTATATGTATTTTTAAATACATATTATATGTACGGGAGGGGGGGGAGAGAACCTTCTAGTTACATTTTTAGGTTTAATTTGTATGTCTCCAAATTCAAATAGTTTCATTGTGGCTTACATTTAACCATAGAATTTTATTTATTTATTTCATGTGACATAACAGAATGCAGCATTAATGCATAAAAATTCACAAAAACAACATGTAAAATGTATATTAAAATACAAAAGCATCACAGCATTTTAAAAACACACAGCACAAATAAAATTATGAATAAAATTAAATTATGAGCAGTTACTGGGATTACTAAACCTATGGCTGGATATCTGGATTGTTTAAACATTTTGCAGCAGCGTCCTAAGTTGCAATGTAGATTAGCCTCCTCGTGCACTTGAGCAGTGTGACTTTGTCACAGCTAAATGCACATTCTAGCTGCTGGACTTCACAAAGATTTCCCAGCAAGAAGCAGCACCAATACTGAAAACTATAGAATACTTTTAATCCTCTGCTTTATCGTTGCCATTTTTCTGGGAAGATGTACACAATTATAAAGCACTGGGTTACAACTGCCCCCAAATTTCAGGGATTTGTTTGGGGCCTAGAATATTCTTGGAAATAAAAGAGGATACTGGCAGCTGGCTCTTTTGATGCCAATTTCTTGGACTTTTTTTAAAAGTGTTGTTAAGATATAAAGCACAGTAGGACAGATAACCTGGCATGCACCAGCATGGGCATGTAGAGAAAATCCAGTATGTTAACTTCTTCAGCAGATCAGGAAGCAGGAAGTAACTTCACAATTAATACCATCTATATTTGATACTAGATCTTATAACTAAAAACCGTTGTGTATGTGTGTGACTCACTTGAAGCTGATTAATTTTAAAAATATTTCTTCAGTTGCTTATATCACTTACAAGAATGTGTTCTTTTAGTGCTAGTGATGCTCTTAAAGGAGAAGGATTGCAAGAAGGTGTGGACTGGCTACAAGGTATGTCTTAATTTTGCCTTCCTTGGTTTTTTTCCCCCATAAGCCCTCCTTTTTAAAAAAATATTTTTCCATCATTTCATTTTGTTTTTTCCTGCCTATTTCTGCTGTCAGATCAAATTACACAGTAAGTATCCTTACAATTATTTGGATGCTTCTTTCAATGAGACACTCATTCAAGCAAGGTATTCTGTATCAGTAATATTTTTATTCCTGTGATTAAAGTCAAAATAATATTATAAAAATATTCATTTCCATTTTTTAAATTCATTGTAAATAATACAATAAAAAGAATAACAGTTCTAATTTCTGGTTGAAGTTTGATCCAAATGATAGCTTTTGTTTAAAGCATCTGAAATTATATGTATATGTGTGTGTATATATACACACACAAGGTTCTTGCTATTATCTCAATTTTTAAGATGTACTTTTACTGTTTCCTCTGTAAAACATCTTAAAATGGGTTGCAAAATGCAACACATTAAAAAACAATATAAAAATCAAAATCATTTAAATATATATATAAACCAAAGCAGTTAAAAGAGAACAATAAATACTGAACAGAAGCCATTTATAGAACTTAATTCCAAGATGATTGTTCATACTCGCATTACAAATATGCTGTATGTGAATTATTTCATGTAACATCACTTATAAGGCTAGTCATTCCATTAGTCTTCATAAGACATTTACTTAAGCAATTCAGAGAAGATGATTTTGCTACTCCTGTCTTACCTAAAGTTTGCTTGCTTTAATATTACCTACAAAGCAACAGTGTTGCTTGAGCTGCCATAACAGAAGAGCAGCTAAAGGCATTTTTCTCACAAGTAGGAAGAGACACTGGACCTCAGGTTATTTTCCTACAGCAAGCAGAATATAGCAAACAAATCTACATTAAAAGATCATTAGCCTCCTTTATATCACTGTTAAAAGATTTCACAGAATAAGATATTAAAATAAGCTTTGGTTTTAACAATAAAAATATACACTTTTTGAAAAAGAATAATTAGACAGCAACTAACAGTTTCATATAGTTGGTTAACACTTTATTCTAATACTTTCCAGTCAAGAATCTTACGTAAAAAAAACACCACTAGATGTCAGCAAAGATTGAAGATTGAGATGCAGAGAAACCTTGTAACTAACTACAATATATATTATATGGAAATGGAAAACTTTACATATTTAGAATTTTGAAATAGTATCTCAGAACTGTCCATCAAAAACTAGGCTGCTGGACATTTCTGTTCATGAACCAGAAAATCTATAAACATTTGTACATTATTCCTTAATATTTTAAAATGTTCCTGAATGGTAATGATGTAAATTTTTTGATGGTATCCTATATGAAAACTGCATTTTAATGTGAATTTGTATTTGTTTTTATCTAGATCAGATCCAAATAATGAAGACATGAAAAGCTAATATGCTAATGGAAATATTAAATATAATTTATAGATACTGAAGGCCTCAGAGACAAAAACTTTAGGCCTGTGTGTTTTCTTGTGTTGGTTTTTATAAAAGCCTTTAAAAATAAAATGGTATTTTTGCTAATAGTTTATAATGCCCATAATGTGACCAGAGATTTAACTGTAATCAAATAAAATGATGAAGTAATTGTATACTATTCAAAACCCTTTGGTATATTTTTGTTTGATTTTTAGTTAGAACTTAGGGGAAAGCATGATATCTTAACAAAAATGATTTCTGAAAAGCTTTGCATAGTGTCTTACATTCAGAACTTCACACTGGCCATGTCTCTTCCTGAACTAAAATTAGGTTTCAATTTAATAATCATAAGAAAGAAAGAAAAATGCTGTAAAACTTAAACTAGCATACTTCTTTTCTTTTAAACTTTTTTTCCTGCAGCTGGGAAGACTACTTTTGTCCCCTTTCTTCCCCATCCATTGTTTTTTTTCATCATGTTGTATTGTCTAGCCCATAGATCATGGTTTACCCTATGTACAAAATAACTTCAAACCATAGTTTTAAATTTGAGTTTATAAACCTGTTTTATATAACAAACTATTGAGAAAGAGAATAAATAAGGGTTAAGAAAAAATGCAACTAAAGTTATTTTTCAAGACAGGTAATAGAAGATAACATATATACAAGCACCAAGCTAGACTGTTTTTCTCTAAGCAAAACAAGTGGGTTGTTGTTGTTGTTGTTGTTATAATTTTTGGTGAGATTCACAGCCTTTGGGGCTGGTTGGTAGCTCAACAGCTCAAGTCCTAACCAAGGACCTAGGAACTATTAAGGTAACGTCAGATGATATAAGCTGTTCCAAGTAGGATGGTTTTTTGTAGAATCAGAATGTTCAAGTCTGATAAATTTAAAATTTCCAAATAGCAAGGTAGCCCTTTGGGTATTGCTTCAAGGGCTCCAATTACAATCGGGACAACACATAATTTCTTTTTCCACAGTCGCTCAACTTCAATTTTCAAGTCCTGGTACTTTGTGATTTTTTTTCTTGCTGTTTATCTTCAATTCGTGCATTTCCAGGTATTGCAATGTCAATGAACCATATTATTATTATTATTTTGCAAAATATTCAGTTTTCTCTGGAATTTTTTTTTCTTCTGGAATAGGATGATCCACACATTGCAGGGAGGTTTTCACATGTCCAGAACTGTAACATCTCAAAGTATGGTATTCTGGATGATACACTTCTGAAAAGGCACAAATCATTTGAATCAACCCCTTTAGGGTAGTGAGAATGAACATTTCTAAAACAAACTGTTCTATTTTGCATACTTGTACTCCCATAACACTCATAGGCATCTTTCATGTCTTAGTAGGCCATGTTTATCATGTCAAACAATCCACTGCAATAGACATTTGGTATAATTTTTAACTTTCACAGAAAGCAGCTATGCCATACAATATTTTAGTTAGATGTTAATTGTGAATTTACAAGCTATTTGGATATTTATGATGTGCTATTTATGTGCTAAATTATATTGATTTCTGTAACAGCTTAAAAATATTTTGATAAATAAAGTACATAACTGACATAATGAATTCTGTATCTTTTAAGATGACAAATGTTGCATTCATGAAATGAAATAGTTTGAAATATTGTAGGGAGCATTTTTCAGAGACCATGCTACCCTTGGGGAAAATGCAAAGCAGGCAAAGCACTCTGTAAGAATTGCTTCAAGATATTATGGTTATTTGGACTAATATTTTTCCTAGTTAAAAGTTGAAGGGAACAGGCTTTCATTGGAGAGTGAAGCAAGCTAGCAGGACAGAACTTCCACATCTTTGAGCTGCATAAAGAGAAGGGAATGATTGGAATTTATTACCATATTTGTTTTATATTTTCCAATTTGGGGGCTACATAAATCCTTGGTGATTCTGGGCAGCTTAAAAATGTGAACATGGTTAACCAGAAGAGCAAAAGTAAGCTAAACTAAAGCGGACACTACAACTACCTCAATCACAAGGCCTGGGAGAACATCCACTGTTTTGTCATTTCTGGACTATCACAAGGATGGAAACTGCATGAATCAACTGGATAGCTTTAAGGATACATTTTATATTGAAAAACATAATTGAACTTTTCACCTGTCTTTATGGAAAATGACATTAATCCAATTAAAATAATCATTTTTATTTTGTAGTATAGAACCTTTGACCAAAGCAATTTCTATTTGATATATCCAACTATTGATATATATTTGCAGGTAGTACTAGATACCTCTCTGTTGTTACTATGGTAAAGACTATTGAACAATTAAGAACATAAGGAACTGCTAAGAAAATGAGCAATGCAATCTAGCTTTAGGTTGGACATATATCATGTTCACAAAATATACAATATATGCAATATATAAAAACTAGATTAGAAAATAACCTGATGCTAATTATTAAATGTATGCAATTCATCTATAAAAAGAGGCATAAAAACTAATAGGAATGCTCATTGCATGTTCATGAAAAGTTTTGCAACCTAAACGTAGTATGCTTAAGAGCATACAGATAGGTAAATATATATAGAAATGTACTTGGGTATTTTAGAGTTTTTCAGTTTTTCTAATTTTAACAAGTATGAAATCAGTGGAATTTACTAATAAACAGCATAAATAGGATTGTATTGTCCATAAATTAAAAGGGGAATGAAATGAATTGTTTTTCAAAATTACTCAAAGAGAAAATCAACATGCAATTTGTTCAAAAATAAAACTAGTAATTGGCAGCAAAGCAATTTGAATAATGAATATATTTTAATGAGATTTATTTAGCTCTTAGCAATATATTCTGAATAAAACATTCGAAATCGCTGGAGATTTTTGTTGTAAGCTGTTACTTTTCAAAGCTATGTAACATGTAAAAATCTTTAGAATATAAAATATATCTTTAGCCCTTAAATGGTTTCACAAATAGGTTTTGCCATCCTTGTAGTTTCTATATGGTAACTAGGGCCTCATTTTTAACTGTTTAATTTGCATGTATTTACATGTTTTTTTAGTTGGCAATTAGGGTCAGAGGCTAGAGGCTTTTGCCACCTACCACATGACAAATAATTTCTTATATGAAATATAAGAATTTAAGGCCAATCCTAAAGTGTGTATTACTACAGTGCCTTTGTCACAATGCTTTGGGTAAATGTTTGATGTTACTGTATACTAATAGGGAGCTATCATCTAAATGATCCAAATCTTCTTACCAGAAGCAGAAGTAGGTTATTTTATTGCACGCTAGAAAGAAAAGCTATAATTATTCAAGCATACGGTCCCTTGGACAGCTGTCAAGGCCTCAGAAAGTGAAGAGTGGCAATACCTCTATAAACCTACCTACCCACCTAATCAATGGGATGGGTCTATTTGATGTAGTGCTTAAGGTGGTAGCTTAAGCTATGAGCTCTCCCTTAGGCATGAAAGCCAGTTGGGTGATTTTTGGGACCAGTAATTTAGCCCAACCCATCTCTCAGGTTTGTTGCTATGGGGAATATAAGAGATGGGAACATTTGGTATGTAGACTTCCTTGAGTTGACAAAAAATGGCAGAATAAAAAGATAAAGTCCAAGGTGTTGTATAACTACTTTACTACTTGCTACTTACCATTTTAATTTCAGAATTGAAATGTAATGTTAAATTAATATATAGAATTAATCCTAGCAAGGGTATTGTGCTGAGATTGCCACCATTGATCAAATAACTGGCTTTAAGTGTTTATGTTTGGAGCATAGTATTTGCCAAAGACTTTCTAAGGCATGGATGTCAAACTCACCATGTCATGTTGCTGTCACATGATGTATCACATTTTTTCTCTTCACTGAGCTGGGGGTCGAGGCCTGAATGTGACGCATCTGGCCCATGGGCCGCCAGTTTGAAACCCCTGTTCTAAGGTAATTAGGATACTCTACTCAGGAAGTGGGTTTTTAAATTTCATCCCATATCCTGGAGTGACATAGACATTTGTTCCTTTGCCAAGGGCAGCGCAATGACTCAGCAGTTAAGATGCTGGGCTTGTCGGCTGGAAAGCCAAAAGCCCAGGTTCGAGACTTGAATGCCATGCAGTGGGTAAGCTCCTGCCTCACCCCAGCTCTGTTCAATCTAGCAGTCCGAATGCATGCAAATGTAAGTAGATAAAGTGATATCACTTTGGTGGGAAGGCAACAGTGTTCCATGATGTCATATCGGCCACATGACTATGAAAATGTCTTCAGATAGTGCTGGCTCAATGGCCTCAAAAGATGAGATGAGCAACACCCACATTGACTAGGGAGTAAAATCCACAGGGAGTCCTTTACCTTATGTTTGCCATGAATCTAGAAATCTAGGCGCTTCCTCAAGGTTGGCTCCAATCTGCAGGATTTATTTATTTAGTTTATGGCAAATACGTTAAAAAGCACATCCCAATTATATGCTTAAATATGAAAATATTTATTCTATTTACAAATTCAAAGGTAAGATTATATAGTAAATGCATGATGGTGTAGCATACATACTATAAGATCTCTTGAATTCCCCTTATATGTGCTCATTGTCCCACAATGTGTCACATTGGCTGCTATGTTCCAAAGACGAGAGCTTTTCCATTTAAGAAGTAGGCTAACATACCTGCCATGTTGAGTCCTAATCCTATTGAGGCTTGACCAGGCCTTAAGGGGCAGATTGAATCCTTTTGCTTCAGCTGTAGAGCAGGAAATGTTGTGATACTCTGGAGGAGCAATAGAGGATCATTCTTGCATCCAGGGCTGAAGCAGATTGAAGTTGTTATTCAGAAAGTTTCTGGCTCTCCTGATAGGTGGATGTCTGGAAAAAAGCCTGTTGTTTATTAACATCAGTAATATCTGCATCGCTTGGCATGTGAGTGTTACTATTTTCTTGTACTCTTACAGAATTCCCTTTATGGTGGAGAAATATGACTCAAAACTGTTAACCAGAAAGTGGGAATAGATCATATTGTACCCACATAGCATGATTCACTCTGCAGGATGAAAGAAGTGTTCTTGTACTTATTCACTTAGCATTCTCATTGGCATTTATATAATTGTTGTAATACATTGTTACTTTAATTTTTATTTGTATATTTTTCGGTCCACACAACATTCAAAGCAGTTCAAATGTACAAGTTTCAAATTGTTTACATTTTGGGCTTTTATTTTGAAGATAACACATTGAAATGTTCTTTTAAAAGAAAACTGATTTATGCAATGGCATACAATTATTGTAGGCCCCAGTCCAAACTCATTTATTCAGAGAGCTTCCTTCTGTGTACATGCCTTAGAGCAGTTTTTTTTGTTCTGGAAAAGGAAGTGTCTTGGAGAAAATAGCTGAAGAATAATAAATACTGTTAAGATTATGTAGAAAGACAGCCTTTGGTATATCCTAGTTATTCCAGTTTTTAATTTGATCAAAAAAACCCAGCCCCATTGTTGTACTTTTTGATATATATATAACTTCGTGTCCCTCCCTTTGCCTAAGAACCAGAGCCCTCTTATCTGTGATAGCAAAAAGCAACAAAAACCAAACACAAACGACAAACAAAACACAACAGCAAACAGCAAAATATGTTCGTGGAGATCTGGACGATAGACATACTGTAGGATACATACTTCTGAGACTTAAGACCACTAAATATTGATGAATTTAGTGCAGTCAAGAGTTGCTTAGATAAGGCTTATTCCTAGGTAGGCGTTTGGTGTAGGTGCTACAGGCACTCAATGTATGTGTGTACATTATATATATATATTATCTAAGCAACTCTTGACTGCATTAAATTCATCAATATTTAGTGGTTTTAAGTCTTAAAAGTATGTATCCTACAGTATATCTATCGTCCAGATCTCCACGAACATATTTTGCTGTTTGCCGTTGTGTTTTGTTTGTCGTTTGTGTTTGGTTTTTGTTGCTTTTTGCTATCACAGATAAGAGGGCTCTGGGTCTTAGGCAAAGGGAGGGACACGAAGTTATTTTTTAAAATGTTTAAAAAATATTTTTAAAACAGGTTTCCAGCAGGTTAAATTAGAGGCGTTCGAGGCAGTCACTCCAGTATTACTTTCACGCTGTTGTCGAGAAATAAACACACCTATCGGTGGTGACTTGTTTATTTTCGGAGGAAAGGCAAAACTCGATCAACCTGAACTTCTCGGCCGCAGAGCGTAAGGGAGGAGCAGGGGAGAGGCGACACCGGCGAGCGAAAACTCACGGATCACGCGCGGTGGCGGGGGGAGCTCCTGCGCTGTGGGGGAGAAAAGGCGGGGCTTGAAGAGAAGGGGCGGTGCTGGTCAGGGCCCAGGCCCGCCTCCTGGGTCGGGCCGCTGAGGGAACCGTGCAAATATTTCTGCCTCCACGACGGGGAGAGTGAGAGAGAGGGGGTGCTGGGAGGCAGGCTTGGCTGTGCTCGGTCCCGTTGGGACAATAATGGACTAGGAAGCTAGTCAGAAAGAGAGCTTCCGTCCCCAGGACAAGCGTCGGAGATTCGCCACTTGGTTGTTGATTTTCAGCCTTAAGAGGGGAAAAAAGTAGCCTGCTTGCTTATCCTGGTTGTTGAAGATGTCTGGAGGGAGTACTCGGAGGAGAACTGGTTCCCCCTGGCACAGCAATTTATCTCGCCTTTTTACGAGAAGTTCTTCCAAGGAACAGGAAGACGAGAGCAAAGTAGCCCCTGAACTGCACTGCACACGAAGGTAGGGACGGGGCAAAGTTTGAAGGCAGGAGGGAGACTCTTCCTTCCTTCCTTCCTGGCTGGCTGGAGTAGGTTGGCTCTCGATCGATCTACCGCTCCTTCGCTCCTTTTTTTCTCTCCCTCCCTCTCCCCTTCACCTTCTCGCCATCCTTCTCCCCGCCCCACCCTTCAATACTTCTTTGGCATCACCCCTTCTTCGTTTTGGCTGAATTCGCCCCAAAACCCAGAGCCGCAAACTTGCCAAACGCCTGTTAGCCCTTGGCGCGAGCTCAGCCAGAGTCGTTCCGTGGAGGGGTTTGGAGAGCGTTATATGCATATAATGTCCCGCAAAATGGGAAGGTTTGAGGAAACTTTTTTGTTAAGCCCGGATAAATTGTCAAGGGCGAACGGTGGCCTTCTGTTTAAACAAAAAACTTTTTAAAGTGTTTGTTTTAAGCTTCAGACGCTAAGAGCATCTTCAGTATAAGTAGTCAAATTTCACATGGGGCAAGGCAGGTGAACTGTACGCAAGTCTGGGTCTCAAACCAGTTTGTTGTCATTCAAGGAAAGGTTCTAGATAAGCGGTCACCAACTGGTGGTCCGCAGAAAAAATATTTGCATTTTTTATATTGCACTAAATACTATTTATCTTTTTTTTTTTAAACAAAAATCATAGTGGTCTGCGGGATTTAAAATCATGAATTAAGTGGTCCCTGAGGTCCCAAAGGTTGGTGACCCCTGATCTAGATAGGGATTACTCTTTTAGGCTCTTTCGTTTCCTCCGGTTCATGCATTTAGCTAGTAAATAAAATTGGATCATTTAAGTTCAAATATTAGTTTCAAGCTTTTTTACATTTGGGGGAGTAATAGCCTTTGCCCTCGGAGAGCCTTTTGGCAAAACCTCTTCTGGGTTACAAAGGTATGGAAACTCCCAGAGATGTCTCTGATAATAAAAGCAACTGGTCTAGGAAGAGTGCCAGTGCATCTATTTCTCACATTTTATATTATATTCAGCATTTTATGATGAGCAGCCCCTGTGTGTATATGCACATTTCACATGGGTACTATATAAAATACAAGGTAAAAGTAAGTTAATAGATAGTGGTAATCTAAGCTAATGCTGTGGTGATTTAATATATCTTTTCTTAAAGTTTTTGTAAGTTAGGTAAAGTCTTTTCTCCCACTTCTGGTCAAAAGAGCTTCAGAACAAATCCAGTGAGGTTGAAACAATCGGTTTTGAATTGCTTTCATGTGTGAAACATGTTACACAATTTGAAACATGTTCAAATTGTTTAATGACAATCTTACAATAATGGTCCAAAACTTAACAAACAAGATTGAATCCAGTAGCAGTACTTATCAACATAATGCATTTCCCCCCTCCCCCATTCCTTTCCTTTCAGCGCACCCTGAAATGGAAAAGGGAAAGAATGAGAGGAAATCCCATTGTAAGAGTGGTTTTTGGTCATATAATATATGGCAAAAACAAAAAGTTAAAATTATGTAGTGTTTTATTATGCGCCTTTATAATGTTTTATTTTCAAGATTATAATAATAAACTCTAGATAGTAAAAATAAACAGCCAATTTTTTAAAAAAAATAGGTTTTCATTTCAAATTTTAGTGCATCACAGTTTTGATTGAAGCATTTCCATGTTGTATAATTTAGTAAATAAGAAATTGTGTGCCTTAAAGTTGGTTGTTTAAGGAACTGATGAGTTTCCTAGATAAACCATAATTGCAATCTAATTTTGTTTAAATTAAAGGTATAATTATTTCATTGAGATATATTTTTATTTTCAGTTTGGGCATTACAGGGAATTATACATGTTTTGGCATTTTGTTTTAGTTTTTACTTAAGCAATAATAATTAAGATATAACAGTATTATGGAATTTTTCTGATTATTCAATAAAGTAGACTGAAAATTATTTGATTAGAAAGCATCACTAAAATGCCAAAACTTATAATTCCCAGCAATGATGGTAGTAAACAAGGAGTAAGCTTGACAGAACTCAAACGCATGTTCATGGCTGAACCCATCTTATAGTACCGTGATGGCGAACCTATGGCACGCATGCCAGAGGTGGCACACAGAGTCCTTCCTATGGGCATGTGTGCCATCACCAGTTGCTCTTCTGGTTTTCAGTGCATGCATGCGTTCCGGCCAGCTCATCTTCATACATGACAGAGCATCAGAAACCCAAAGATCAGGTGGCCAGCAGCCAGAGCACGCATGTGCACTGGCCAGCTGGTCTTTGGGTTTCCAGGGCTATGGCATGTGCACACGCGCATTCTGGTTTGGGTGCTCAGTGGCAAAAAGGTTCACCATCGTTGCTACAGTGATTAGAGTAGTGAAGCATCAACACTTCTTTGCCCTGGTTGTTTCAGCAGAATACCAGTCAGTGATGGCTTTTATGGTGATTCCATTCTGACTATTTTTTCCTTGACTTTTTGCTATCAGATTGCTTCAATGCACTTTAGCATAGACTCAACTTGAGCATATTTCATTAGGTGACTGGGACAATGTTTTGTGAAGACCTAGTTTGTGGATTCTGAGAAAATGGACAAGTTCTTTCCAATTTAAGTTCTTTCCAATTTGAGTTCTACAAAATGCAGACTGAATCATCTGCTACTTGATTTCTTTGGGTTGCCAAAAGGGATATCACTAGATACAAAAAGGTTTCTGTACAAAAAATACTTCTTTTAATAATTTGTTTGTACTGACTACCTTAAAGGAAACAATAGTGTAGCCATGTCTGAAGAAACCATCTCTTGATCCAACTGTATTGATCACTTCCACCTAGCCTCTCCTTCAGGCCTGGATGTGGGACAGAAAGTCTTGAGGATGATGTTTGTTGAGATTTGGAGAATGAGCATGAAGCCCTCTTGATCCCATTATACCTCTCAACATGGTATTCTCTTGTACCACCTATAAAGATTGGTTGAGTGGCGTTCCTTTTTCTCTGTTTTGAATAGATAATTCCATTCAGTAGCAATGGAGAATTTGCACTTGAGGTCTTCACCCATATTTTCAGACCTATCAGAGGCCTCTTTAAGATCAGTATTAAACTGCTGGAGGAGATCAGTTTTGGGTGATATATCAGCAATGAACGGATATCTGGCTGTTAATTTCTACTGTGGCTAATTGGATTGGATGGAACAAAATAAACTAAAACTAAATCCCAACAAGATGGAGTATCGTTCATTCAAAAAACATCTTGGCTTCTCATTGGGTCCTGTGCCAAGTCTGGATCTAGGTTGCACTCTATCTGAAGAGACATTAGGGTCACTTCACCTATGTAAGGCTTCTGCTTGATTAGCAGAAAGAAGCTATCACCAAGCCTTTGTCCAAATTTATTGTATGTGCTAGGAAAAACTTGGAATATGAAACATTGGCAAGAGTCACACATGCCCTCATTATCTTGAAATTGGACTACTGCAACACACTCTATCTAGAACTGCTTTTCTAGACTACTCGGAAACTAAATGGTATAGAATGCAGCAGTTGAGAGTTGCTTCAACAACATTACACCCGGATTAGAAGCACCACATTACTTACCAATATATTTTCAAGTGAGAGTCCATTTGCTGTGGTGGTAAAGGCACTGGACTAGAAACTGGGAGAGTATGAGTTCTAGTTTCACCTTAGGCACAAAGCCAACGTGGTGACCTTGGGCCACTTATATACTTGCAATCCTAGGAAAGAAACAATGTCAAACCACTTATGAAAAATCTTGCCAAGACAACTACATAGAGTTGTCTAGGCAGTCACCAGGAGTCAACAATGACTTGAAGACATACATATATACATACATGTATACATATGTACATACAAGCAATCTGCCAATTTAAAGTGCTGTTTTTGATCTATAAAACCATCCATGCTTTCGTTCCTTGATATCTTCTGAATTATCTTTTCCAAGCAGAAACTGAGCTCTGCGTACAAGAGTGTGTGTGTGTGTGTGTGTGTGTGTGTGTGTGAATGTGAATGAGTGAGACCTTGGAAGGGGAAGAGATGCTGGCTAGGAAACAATCAAACAAAAGAGGGAGGATCCTCCAAAGGCGTAAAGGTCAAACAAAGAACTCTAAGGAGAATCCGCCCTAATCAAGCAATTTAAAAAGGCAACAGGAAGTTTGTACTTTGCAAGATTCTGTTACTGTAACTTTACAATACAATAAAGTAGAGTTAGATCATATGGTTGGGTTTCCTGTCTAATTTACCTGGGAGGGCTGATCCGGTGATGCTTGGGGAGCTTGAGGTACATCCTGTCAAGAGATACAGAGATAGGTGGCCTCCATATTGTTGGTATTCATGAAGACAGTGAAATGCCTTTAATTAAGTATTTGTTTTTCTTATTGTTTTATTAGAATATTTTAATGCTTATGAACTATCCAGTCTTTTGAAGGATATAAGTCCTGTAATAAATAAGATGAGGTATGATAGCAGTAAATAAATTGTCAAATTAGAAAGCAGGCACCAATTAAATACCCATTGAAATCTTTAAAGTAATAGGAGCAGAGCTATTTAAAAAGCTGGGTCAACAAATATGAAACAAAACTGAAGCTGAAGGACTGGAAAGACTGGTGTATATGGTGTATATGCTATAACATATAATGGAAATTCAAAATAGAACACAAATTATTGAACCATCACATTCAAACAAGCAAAGTTTTACCAAAGACTTCATAACAAAAAAAACCCCAACCCAATAATGCAAAAGCATGAACTCAACAGGTAGGGTTGAGAAGGTTTCAGAAAAGGTAGTTTCTGAATAGTTAACTTGAGAGATAATACAACAAGCTCTGGATATGGAAGATGAAGGACAATTCTGAGGATGATGATAGCACTCATTAAAATAACAACTGTTATTTTTTACATGATTTTGAATTATGGGATGGGAAATTCTAGGGCCATCTTAGATTGTTTAAATTTTTAAGAAACCCCGTGCTTTTTAGAGACAGACTCTCTACTTTCATATGTAGAAGCTGAGCTAAAGGCCTGAACTATAAGGCAAAACAAA